ATATATATATATACACGTGTATATGTATGTGTAAAATGCCCAAATAAATTATGGCTTATTCTGCCTTTCATATAGGCAATTACTATTTTCACCGGATTTTTTTTTTTTAATGGTAAATGGTAAATGGACTGTACTTTATGTTGACTTGAGTACAGTTAAGGCTCCTCTACCCACCTCTGCTGCTTCTACGTCTCTATCTGCTTTTCAAAATGATGAAAGCACAGAATCACAGACACACTGACCTGTCCAGCACCAGTTCTTCCAGTTTATGCAGGTCACAGGCAATGTATTCCAGGGCCATGTCAGTGATCCGAGGGCACCAGGACAAGTCCAGGCTGCGGAGCTTACGCAGGTTCTCAGCAACCAGCTCCACGCCATCGTCAGTGATCTTTGAGCAGCCAGACAAGCTGAGGGCGGTCAGGTTGGGGAGGCTGTGCACCATGTTGACCACACCGTGATTGGTGATCTCCCAGCAGGAGTGAAGCCGAAGAGTGTGGGTGGTGTAGCCCTGCGGGTGGAAGATAATTCTGAATATGCTGCACATGTGGCACCGTTCACAATCTATGCACTCACTACTGTTATTTGTCAAAATCTCAAAATAAAGCAATTCAAAACTTTTTTTGTATACAGGCTCAATACCTAAATCAATAACCAGAGAAAACCTTGTGCATCTGTATTGAACGTGGCCACTTCAAATACTTAAAAGAAACAGAACATCACTTGAGATCCACAATGAGAAAGAAGGTGTGTACGAGGTACCAAGCTGGTTTCTGTTGTTTTGACATCCTACCTGTTTGGCTGTGAAATAGGCCATGGCCGTGTCAGTGACGTGGTAGGCCTGCAGGCTCAACTCTGATAGGTTGGGCAGGAGCTGTGAGATAGCAGCGATGGCGTCATCCGCCACATTGATGCAGTCACTGACACTGAGGGAAGTTAGCCGGGCATTCAGACTGGACCACAGGCCGGCCTCAGTGAAGTCATTGCAGCCTGACAGTTCAAGGTGCATCAGGCCTTGCATTTGCTCCAACATGACCTGCAACATAAAGGCCACCAGTCTGACTCAGTAGCTGGTGGAATGTGCTTACAGAGAGATAAAGAGTAGATAGACAGTACCCAACTAATTAGAAAGGCATCAGAAAGGGACTCCATTTAAACCATTGTGCAGTTCAAGGTAGGTTGTACAATGTTTTAATCAGAACGTGCAGCGTTATTCACAACTACCTTTTTCACAGCAGCCATTTTGACATGAAATAGTAGGGTAAACACAGGTGTTACCTAATTAAGGTTCTGCTCCATTTAGGTCATAGGTTTCATATTCTACACTATTCTGCCAATCTACAGTATAGACAATTATAGAATAATTATGTCTGAGACTACATCTTATTAAATACAGGTCAGCAGATGAGAATCACTGTAATGAGTCAGCATCTGTGTGTCTTCACAACTTGTGGCCATATTAGTTACAGTACAAGCACCAATGTGAAGGTGGGTGTATTTTGGACCAGCAGCCTGTTGCATCAGCTGAGTGCAAGTTCAAACTTAGCATAGTTATAATGTAGATGATTAATAAGTTGTGAATTATGCATTACTAAAATAAAAGGGGTTGCACCACAGAGATAAGTTACAACTCAACTCTAAGTTCAGATCAATTCAATTTATCTGTATCATCAAACCATAACAGAAGTTATCTCTGGACACTTTTCAAATAGAGCAGGTCTAGACCGTACTCCTTATAAAATTATTTACAGAGACCCAACAGTTCCCACCACGAGCAAGCACTTGGTGGCAGCGGCAAGGAAAAACCTCCTTTTAAGAGGCAGAAAACCTCGAGCAGACGTCTGCCTTGACCGGTTGGAGTTAGAGAGAAAGAGAGAGACAGAGATGTACAGCAACAACAAAAGCAACAGTAACAACTACAGTAGTAGAAATGACTAATAATAATAATAAAGATGCTGCTTTAACTTGTAAATAATATGAATATCTTCTCTCCCCACAGTACGGAATCGATGTGAAAGCAAAAGACAACCAAGGGCAGACGGCCATGAAGCTGGCCAGAAAAACAGGGAGCAAAGGCTGCATTGATATTTTACTCCAACACGGCTGTCCCAACGAGACGTCCCCGCCCACTGCCACGCCCGTCCTCGCCCGCCGGTCCAGCACTGCCAGCCTGGGCCGAACCAGCTCCAGGAAGCGGTTGACATAGCGCGAGCCAAGGCCGCTACCTACGGAGGAGCTGGGGGGCCGCGCTGGAGGATGCTTATTGTTTAGTGAACCTTTTAAAACATGGACACAGCAGGACTTTGGAGAGGGTGACAGGACTTTATCATAGTATTAGGATTTAAAAAAATAAAATAAAATAGTTTCTGAAGACTGAACAACATATCAAACAACTTAAAAGCAATATTCATTCAATTTGTTGATGACATATATTGCTGAAATACTGTGTTGTTGTTGACCTCATTTTAAAATGACTCAAGTAGAACTTTGTAGCCGTCTTCTGTAATTTTAGAGCAGACGCTCCGACTGCTTCTGTTTTCACTTCCTCCAGGAGAAGTGCAATAATCCAGCTATGATGACGAGAAAAAAAAAGCAACAAGAGTTTCAGAGTGTGGGATGACTGTATGGTCTCAGCTGTGAGAGAATCAATACATCAAGAGGGTGCTGCTTTTATTCCAATTAGTTGTGACTGGACCAAAATGGCAATTATTTTTCCTTTTAGGCTTTACGAATAAAACCTACAGTATGTCATGTTGTTAGTTGTGTGTGCCTGTCGCAGCAGTATAAAGGTCAGTTTTGACGATATAAACTTTTTTCAGTGACGAATCCCGCTGAAATAATCCTGCTTAGACTAGAAAAATGAATGGTTTGGATTATGAAATATGTCAGTGTTAACTCTCACAGGTCAAAGATATGGCGTTTTATTATACTGTAAATGTAACTATACTACATACTTAATGTTAAACTGTAACAAAGACACAACTGAAAGATCAAAGATTCAATTTTGTAAATGATTTCTACTGGTAGTTTTGACAATATGTCGCGTTAGTTTTTTTTCATTGTCTCTTATAATTTCGTATTCTTCTACATAAAGGTGTAGATCGGTAAACAAACGCATTTACGTATGTACACATGTGGCCATTGTTTAAAAGGTTTATTTGGGGATGGCCAGATGACGGCATAAAGACATTATTCACATTCATATTACTGTTGTGTAGGTCTATCCCATGAGTTTACAGTGAAGTATGAAGAGTTGCAGATAGTCATTGTTACTTCTGACACTTTGTGGGTTGTGTGAATCCTTCATGATTCAAAAGAAATGGTTACCGGAAATAAATAAACTTTTTTTAATTAGCATTATTACGATCATTGGTTGTGTTTTATTTTCTCTTTGTGTCCAAAACCTCCTTCCTCCTTTCCCATACTTAGATATGCTACATGCTAGGCTCGTATATGTTGAAAAGGCAACGACATTTGAAAGATGGTTAAAAGATAAAACCTATACACACACATATATATAGCCATTATCTTAAGTTAGCTAATGTTGGGAAAATGTTTAGTGGCATCTAGTGGTGAAGTTGCAGACTGCAACTAACTGAACACTACTGGCGTCTGTATTGGACGACCTCGAACTACAGTGGTTGCAAAACTCGCAAAAAAAAAAGGCTAAAGGATCTATACAGCCAGTGTTTGTAGAAACATGGCAGTTCAACATGAAAGTGATCCAGGGAGATAAAAATGTCTCATTCTAAGGTAACAGAAAACATATATTATATATATATATATATATATATATAGAAAACACACCTATGAATATTATATTCAGATCCTCCTCAATGTGACACACTGGACCGGATAATGTAAAGATAAATTATACAGAAGCGTATTGCATTCACTTGAAAAAAAGTGAACAGTTACTGAGTAATTTATTTTTTGGTTTGTTTTTCTGAATAATTTTTAGGAATTATCGAGATACTCCCTCTGAGAACCTCCAACCTGCAGTGGATGGCAGTGACCCATGGACCGATGGTTGAATCCGCTGCCGCATCATCATTGACCCATCATTCACCTATCTTACCTAGGTTCTGCGTAGAGTCGACCACTCACTAATGATACTATACCATCTATATGACTTAAATGACAGGGACTCGTCCTCCAGGGTCTGTAAACCAGAATTCAAAGGAAACTTGACTTGAACTAAAAAGTCCGACTCATGTTTGTTTCTGTTAAAATCAGACTCTCAATAAAGCGAATAATGTGTCTATTGTTTCAAATGCCTCTTCTAACACTCAGGCAAATAAATTGTCAGAAAAACAAAAAAACATCAAGAAAATTCGAAATAATTAGTCCAGAACAAACAAAAAATAAAATTTACAAGTGAATACATAACGCGCTTCAGTAAATTATATGGTAAATGATACTTGGCAATGGTTTATGAATTGGAGATATTTCAAGACAAGAAATATTGAATTCAGCTGGAATTATAACACCTAAAAGAAGAGACTGGGAATGTTCTAAATAACAACAATTCCCAATTAACTAATAACTATTATAATCTCATATTATGCTCATGTAATAAGATTCTTAGGTAATGTATTTTTCACAGCCTGGTTATAGATGCCTCGGTGCAGCCTGCGGGGCGTGCGCAGTGGAGGCAGCCTTGTTTGGACATACGTATCAGAAAATGCGACGGGTAGATATTATTCTGTGTGCGAAACGTGCAGTCCCTCTGAGAGCAATCAATAAAAGAGGAGGAGAGCTCGTCCCCCCCCCAGCAGCAACCTGCAGACGCCTTTTAAATGGGTGAGTCACAGAGGGAGGGGGGGCTGGTTTTATCTGTGTAAAATAAATGTGTGTGTAGCTGTTGGGGGTCAGAGTTGAACATCAGGTGTCTGGACTGTCTGTGGGAGGGGGGGGGCGGCTGCTGCAGGTTAAAATGTGAATGAATGTTTAAAACTGACAGCAGCGACTGATCAAACATTTGTTTTTCTTTGTCACTGGTGGGATTGAGGTGTTGTCTGATCTCAGGTTGTTGGTAGTTAATGAACAATGCAGCTCACAGGAAAGCTCTTAGATACACTTAGATCCAGTGAGACAGCTGTCTGTGCAACTTCACTGTCATTTCATTTATTATCTTTGGTTTTTAAAATCGTTGAAAACTTCACATTGGTTGTTTGTTTATGTAGGAACATTTTAAATGAGCATCTGAGAGTGTATGAAAGGATGTAAATATGTGTCTAAAGGTGCAACTGGAGCAAGATATGTGAGAGTATACTGAAAAACATACACATATAATCCTTAATATCTTCAATTTCTTTCTTAAAATCAGTTCAGACTGTAAAAATGTTTGATGGATATGTGAATTTATTTTAAATAAAACGAGAATTACAAAGAAAAACACCCAAAAATGATGAAATTGGGGAATTGTGACATTTTTCACTATCAGACAATTCAACTTAAATTAAAATGAACTCTTGCTAGTTGCAGCCTTAGTGACAGTCAACTAAAGGTCAATTATAAGTCTATTATTATTTTATCTTATATTTTATATTTTATATCTGTTCTGCTCTGACCGTCTTCCTCTCTCCTCCTGCAGTCCGACTGTAGCGCACCAGGAGCTGCAGCAGCAGGGATGAGGATCCGGCTGCAGGGTCCCGGCCACGCTGCCAGCCTTCTCGCTGAGCTCAACCGCTGCCGGCAGTCGCGCCGATACTGTGATGTCTTCCTGCAAGTTGGCAACCGCACGTTCGCGGCGCACCGTGCCGTGCTGGCCTGCGCCGGGACGTACTTCCGCAACCTGTTCGCCCGGGCTCCGGCCTCGTCCTCCGCTGCCTTCTCCCTGGAGTTCATCTCCCCGGCCAACTTCGAGAAGGTGCTGACGTTCGTGTACACGGGGGAGATCCTGACCGATCTCATAGACGTCGGCGTGCTGTATGAGCTGGCCGAGAGGCTGGGCGTCAGCGAGCTGGTGAGGGCCTGTCACGCTACCTTCCCCGACCTGCAGGCGTCTGTGTCTGCAAACTGTAAAGAAGGCGGTTCTGGAGACCTCGCCCTGGACTCCAGCATGGTCGCCGCCGCCGCCGCTGCGTCCACAGTGGCTTCTGTGTCTGCGTCGTCCGTGTGTTCCTCCGCCGCCTCCTGCTCCTCTCTGTCTTCGCCTGCTGCCCCGACCCCGGCTGCTGCCCCCTCACCGCTCTTCCAGGCCAGGACAGCCAGGGCCGGGCGCGAAGCTCACGCCGGGGCTCTGTCTCTGGACCTGAAGGCAGAAGACGTCCAGTCTCACATCGGCTACGGGCAGATGGCAGCAGATCATCAACCAGCAGGAGGACACGGCACCCATTCCAGTCAGTGTGCCGGCGTGCTGCCTCCGGGGCCGGTGCTCCAGCTGAAGACTGAGCAGGGCCTGGAGGAAGAGGAGGCAGGAGGCAGCTGTGAGGAGGCTGACAGAGACAGACGAATGATCCCTGAGAGCGCGGGAAGCTCTCTGCCTCAGAGCAGCGACGCTGCACCGTCTGAGTCCTGCTCCTTCCCAGACTCCTCGGCTCAGCTCGGGGCCGAGGCCTGCGACCCCACGTCGTCCTCAGGGGAGCCTCTGGGCAGCCTGCAGGTGGGATCCGTGGAGGGCGGCATGGTGGACGTCCAGAGGGACGGCAGGCTGATGTTTGGAGAGGTGGAGGAGGGAGAGGTGGAGGAGGAGAGGGAGGCTCTGCAAGGGAACGGAGAGATGGAGGGAACGGAGGAGGAGCAATGGAGACAGCTGGCGGGCGAGATCATCGAGCTGAGCGACGACGAGACCTTCATGGAGGAGGGAGATGAGGAGGAGGAGGATGAAGACGACCTCGTGTGTGTGGACAATGGAGAGGGAGGGAACTCCAGCAGCCAGGTAAAGGTTGTGTTAATCAGTGGGACTTAAACTAATGATCGTTTTCATTATCGATTCATCTGCTGATAATTGAATTGTCTGTAAAAGTCGGGAAATAGTGAAAAACATCCATCCCAGTCCAACGTTTGGTCAGTGTAACACTCAAAGATATTCAAAAATATGATATAAAACAGAGAAAGGCAGGAAAGTTTTGCGCAAAACATTACGATTAGTCAGCACTAACATATCTGATGTCCACACAACAGAAGGAACCTTCGACCGATATTCAAACAGTGGGGCTGCTGATGGCCGATATATAACGCCGATATCAAAACAAATACAAGTGTATAATTCTGTTATTCTATGCACATTACAATCTAATACACACTGTTATATTAGCCAGTAACATGTACTGGCTAATATAACCATGAACTTCTATTAGTTAATGAAACTGGGTTCATTGTACTGTAGATTCCAGAACGAGGTACACTGTCAGAATCATTCAACTGCATTATTATAATATAACGTATATTTAACACTAGCCAGTAATGATTTTAGATCAGATTTGCTGTCATTGAGGAGAAAAGTTAAAGTGAGAGTTAAAGGACAGGACACCAAGGAAACCAGCAGGGGAGCACTAACATCGTCCCACAGCAGCCACACTGACAGACTCTGTCTATATTCGCTCCTCCAGGTGACGGGGAACATGCTGTCATGTAAAGCCTGCACAGCGCCTCTCCCAGCAGACCCGGCCGCCATCAGAAGACACGCAGAGACCCACCTGACGGAGCTCGGGCTCTGCAGAGTGTGCGGCGCCTCGTTCCAGGACCGAGGCGCCGGCGTCAACCACACCCTCTCCCACGTCGGGGTGCAGCTCTTCACCTGCGACATGTGCCACCTGCAGTTCTGCAGCCAGAACAAACTGCTGCGCCACCACCGCCAGACCGCCTCCAGTTACACAATACCACAGGGAGCGCTGACCAACAGCGGCGGCCAGGGCCTGAGCGCCGAGCTGCAGTGCGCCGTGTGCACCAAAACCCTCAACAAGGACTTCCAGGTGAGTGCACGTTTGACAGGTGGGTTTTTTGATGGCAGTTTATTATTAAATCATAATCTCAGGTCAGCTTTATATGCTGACTGTGTAGAAGTAGTGGCAGGATAAAAACAATTCAGCACAATGGAAACGGAATAAATGGAGGCCAATAAAAGTACAGATAATTAAATAGAATACAATATCCAATAATAAAACAATAAAATAAGATAAAGAGTAAAATAAACAAAAATATAGAGATATATAATATTTTCTGACGATCTCACTGGCCACTAAAGATGATGGCTGAGAGGACTAGTCTCATGCTTTCAGGTTGTTGAAAGTTATTTTGTATGATGGCTTTGCAGAAAGATAGTAGTTGTACAATAGTTCAACCAGACTGACAACTGAGAGGGCAGAAAGAGACACAGATCCCTCTGCAGCTGAATAAGAACCAAAGAAAGAGTTAAAATAAACTGGAAGCTTAAAGCATCAACATTTGCACAGATTTTAAAAAAAAAGGCACAGTTTCAGTGTGGAGTGCACAATAATGCCTCTAACAAGTTGGGATTAACAGGCAGCAAAGCTATTTTTAAAGCTTGTTTGGTGTAGGATTAGCACTATTGAACATCAGCTGAACACACAACAGACCGACAGTTTAAACCTGTTCAGTCTGACCACTGAGCGGGCCGCAGTAAATGTTCTTCTGTACTTCTTCATTTGACCCACTGAGAGCAAATAAAGAATGAATGTGATGTAAAAGGAAACCTACAGTGTGTTCAGGCGTCTGTTGTTTGGATAATTAACGCCAGAGAACTGATTTCACAGAGAGACATCTGACGGCAACACGGACAGAAAACGAGAATATGGAATTCATTTTGAACCAACTGTTCACCCGCTGCTCTCATGAGATTCCCACATTTATGTCATGTGTCTTCATTCCTTTCGCAGCCGGTTAAGACACCGCTGGGCAGTGTGTTTCCAGGAGCCTGAGCTTGCGGCGGTGGCTCACCTCCCCAGCTCTCCCTGTGCTCCCTGGTGTTGCACGCCTCGCCCACTCATCCTGCCCGTCTTTCCACCTGCCCCGCACTGTGGCGCGCTGCTCTGTCGAGCGCTCCCTGCTAGACCAGACATATGGCCGCACATGCGTGAGACCGGCGGCGGCGAAGACGGAGGGAGCGGGTCGGCGCTCAGGGCGTTCCGAGCCGGGGCAGATGGAGGTCGGAGGCGGATTGGCGGGGGTGGAGGGTTGCATTGCTTTCCTGTGCCCTCAGACTTCCGCTCCTCCGTCGGGCTTTCAGTACCACCTCAGCTGCACACCAAGCGAGTCCCTGGGGGGGGCGGGAGGGGTCGGAGGTCAGGGCTGGCTGGGCAAACGTAAAGCTGACCAGTCTCTGGAGTGCCCTCCGTCTTCCTGCTCCTCCTCCTCTCCGCGGGAGGTCGGCGGCCTCGTTAAAATGAGCAACCTGGGTCTGGGTCTGGGGATGGGCTTCGGCATACCGGATAAGTATTTTCAAGGGTCAGTACACAGCCTGCCCTCTGGGGTCCTGACCAACGGGAGTTCAGGGCAGGATGGGGCAGCCGGAGCGGGGGGCGTGCGTGGGAAATGGTACCGGTGTCGCTACTGCGGCAAACGCTTCGCCCACTCGGGGGAGTTCACCTATCACCTCCGCATCCACACCGGGGAGAAGCCCTACCAGTGCAAGGTCTGCCTGCGCTTCTTCAGGGGCCGCTCCACCATGATCTGCCACCTGAAGACGCACGCCGGCGCTCTCATGTACCGCTGCACCGTCTGCGGCCTCTACTTCTCCACGCTGAAGCTGGTGTCGTCGCACATGGAGCTCCACAAGGACCACCTGCCCCCGGACTTCAACATCGAGCAGACCTTCATGTACAATGATCACTCGAAAGAACCGCTGCCTGCTGTGGACGCCTGACCGGCTCTCCTCGGACCCCGTACCCTCGCTCTGACACCTCCTGCGTGTCTGGTTGTCGTGGACCACATACTGAACATTTTAGACTAGGGCTGCAAATAAGTATTTATTATACTAATTCATTTTCTGATCAATCGATTAATCGTTTATTCACAATGGCCTTGACTCCAGACATTCTTCACTCGAGTGGTAGTACAGATACTGAGTAAAGTAAAAGTGAAAAAGTTCAGGCTCTGAAATGGACTCAAAGTATAAAAGTACTCTCTTGGTTTCCCTGAAGCTCATTAATAGGGCTGCATAATTAATCAAAATATTATCAGAATCCCAATATGGACAAGTGCAATATCCAAATCACAGAAGCTGTAATGTTTTGTTAAAGTTAAAATGTGATAAACATTATAAAAAGCTTTATAATGAAATACTGTAGTAATGCTGCAGATGCGCTCTGGTCTATAAAACTTCTCCAAAACTCAAAGATGTTTGTTTGGTACAGATAATGTCACATGATCAAGATTTTAATAATTAATTAAATAATTTAATAATTAATTCCTACTAATCATAAATCATATGTGTCAAATAATGATCAATATGATGTTTTTACTATAAAGTGCAGCTCTTATCATAATTCCCCTCTAATGCATGAAACCAACCAGCCTGATTTGAAACTGTAAGGAGGAGAAAGTACAGATATCAGTGTAAAAATAGGGAGTCAGAAAAATAAATACTTCTTAAGAAAAACTACTTTTAAGTATTTGTACTTTGTTACTTTGTTCCCAACTCTGCTTGAGTCTAAGGTGATTTTAAAATCTTTAAAAAGAACCAGAAGGTACTCAGTTTACAACCCTATAAAACAGACAACGTCGGCATTTTTACTCCATAAACGACTTAAATCGATGATCAGAATTGTTGCAGACGACTTTTCTAACGGGTGAATGGTGTCGGCTCTGTAATAGACTTAGACTCTTAGGTGGTAGTGGATGTATTATCTGTCAGATGCCGTTCACTCAGTCAGCCTGTTTAAGCTCTCTGAACTAAGAGAAAAAGAAGCCACTTGGTGGCGCTGTATCCTGTTCTGTGTCAGTGGAAGAAGACAAGCTCTGTATCTCTACAACTACCAGGATAGGTTTTTATGTCCGTGATTGATAATTACACTGTTATTAAAGTAGCACCTCATTGTAGCATAGAAATTATTTTCCTATATCTGCAGTCACTATTTTTCACACACCAAGATTTTTTATGTCTTTTGGCTCCACGGATACAACGGGACCAGCCACATAAAAGAGTGCATTTTATTTCTCATTGAGACATAAAAAAAAACCATGTTTTTAATGTTGAAGCGGTATCTTTCTGAATAATATGCCATCAGTCACATGCTGCGTTCACTGGTTCAGAGCGTGTGGCGCTGTATAAACATGATATTTAAGTGCCCATCACATTTCTGTGTAAAAAATGTTTGTCTTACCTCATATTTATGACGACAGTGCAACTATTTATTATTTTTATGCCTTTATACATTTCATTATCTGTTTCTAAAGCTGTCTATGAATGTTGGCCTTTTTTAAAATCTTGTTTTTGAAAATAATAAATGCTTCTAGGAAGACTGTTATCAGCCCTAAATGATTTCTCTGTTTTGGATGACCTTTTAAAGTGTCCTGCGCCACAAAGTCCATCCATCATCAGAATTTCAGTGATGAACTTGCAGGACTGTGATCCTCCTGCTTCCAGGGGCTCGTGACCTTTGCCCTTTTAAAGCCCGGTCTCTTCCTGCTATTGTACCATCTGTGTCTCTTTTTCCTTTTTCTGCCCTCTTATCACTTCAAACTGTTGACACATTCCAGATGGTGACAGAAATGGAAGTAACTGTAATAAAGATCAACAGAGGAGAGATAGCTGAAGTGCAAGAACAGCAGAGTGTCTCTAAATGAACACAATAAGCTTCCAAACACGAGCTTTTTCATTGCTCGACTCTGTGATAACTCTCCATCTTAAATGGATACAAACAGTGTTTGATGAAAAAGTTTTATTGCATTTGCACAGGGGACCATGTTACAGCACACGTAGGCCAGGCAGCATCCAGAAACTGATGAGTAAGCATTTGTGATTAGATTTATGATGAAATAAAACACTCGTCTATTCAGTTACATTATCATATTTGCGTTCTGAGGACTGCTCTTATCTCTGGCACTGGACAGCACAGATGTTTACACACATTCCTGGAGAAGTGCCATTATTCCCCGGTGCCATCGTGTTAGAGGTTGCTGGGAGTTCCTGTGGGAGTTGAGCTGCTTTGAGGGGAAAAAAAACATCAAAGATTTCCTGCCTTCCTTCGTTTAAAACTGATCAGATATATGCTAAAAAAAAACAGGAAGTGGATTATTAGAGGAAGGTGCTGGTGAGCCCGTCTGTTATGTAACAAACGGCGCATTGAGTCTGTGAGATGATACGTTGCACAATCTATGAAGCACCACGACTGGATTCAGTTCTGCCAAACTCTTCCTAGCTCAGTTTCTCTCTCTTATGAGCCGATGTCAGACTGGCTGGTGCTGGCGTTACTTAACTTGCGTTGCTTCCCCGGGTCGCCTCCATTGGGAGCGCCGGGCTGGGTCCCAGGTCCCGCCTGGTCCGCTGTCCCCTCTCTGGGTACGTAGTTCACCACAGTGTTGATCAGGTTGCTGCGGAAGCTCTTGCTGAGGAAGTTGTAGAGGATTGGGTTGGCGACGCAGTGGAAGAGAGACAGACCCTGCACCACGCTGAAGGAGAAGTACAGGACCTCCACTGTGTTGCAGCTGAAGAGGAAAGAGTCCAGGTCGTCTATGATCATCAGGAACATGATCATGTGGTAGGGCAGCCAGCACAAGACAAACACCAGGGAGTACACGTGCACCAGCCACACGTCCCGCCGGCCCTGCACATCCGGCGCAGTTTTAACCGCACGAGCGATCAGCACGTTGCAGGTGATGATGACGGCAGCGGGGCCCAGGAACTGGAAGAGCAGGCAGAGGAAAGACACAGACACAAACCATTCGATGTAGTTGTACTCGGGCATCATGTAGCAGCCTGGCTCGTCCCACTCTAGAAGATCCACGTGGACATTCTCCATCAAAGCCAGGAACAAGGAGAACATCCACAGGCCTCCGCAGAGCACCCAGCGACGCCGGCCCACCACGGGGAAGAAGGCCGGGAACGAGGGTCTGGTCAGGGACAGGTAGCGCTCCAGGGTCATGAAGGCCAGGAAGAAGGAGCTGCTGTAGAAGTTGACCACGTAGATGAGGTTGGTGACCTTGCAGAGGAAGCGGCCCCACAGCCAAACCTTGTCCATGGTCACCTCCATCATGAAGAAAGGCAGGATCACAATCACCATCAGGTCCGACAGCGTCACGTTGATGATGCAGAAGAGAACCCCGTTGGCCGTGTGGCGTCGGCGCCAGTTGACCCAGAGGACCAGCATGTTCTCCAGCAGGCCCACCATGAAGACGAATAGGTAGAGCAGGAAGAGGGCGATGCGCCGGTAGTTCGAATCCAGTTCGATGGTGCACTCGTAGACAAACCACGGCGTGCCATTGAAGTAGTCTAATGAGTGGTTGTGCTCGTGGGCGCTCATGGTCTGGAGTGAGAAGCAGAGGAAAAACTGTTTCATATCTGGACAGAGTTCAGGTTTACTTTGGGGTTAATCTGATTATGTTTTCAGACGTTACATAACAGAAAGGCGGGAGGAGGAGGAGGGTGGCAGACGTGCTGGGTTGAAATGAGGTGGATATTAAACAACAGGTTGTTAGAAAGCCGTTTCACAGCCTACAATGTGCAGTTCGGAGAGTAGAGATGTTTCTATCGGTTTATAATTAAAGTTAGAACTGCTGGTTTTTATGGCACAAAGACAACTCCACACTGCAGCTGAACCACAGATATCATCTTTTTTATTCCACATATTCTCCTTCATTGTCAAAACCTGGCACCTACTTTACTCACAATGCAACGCGACTACCGGCAGTTTGGTTTGGGGACTTTGCGTGCTATGCTACCAGCAGATAATGTAGCCTGGAGTCTTCAGCCAGTCGCTTCAGGAAGTTACGACGTTGCAATCACAAACAGTTAATGTAGCCCCAGTTGTTTGTCAAACTAATAAGTTCCTATTTCTATGCTATTTAACTATTTTTACCATTTTCACTTCCTCCTTCGATTTCATTGCAAGAAAATGTCTAAAAATATTTTTCACCTTTCTAATCACCAAACTATTTCTGCACATTTGACCGACCGTTGTAACTCTGAGTCATATGTCACCAAACTCACTTCC